TGTTTCACTTGACTTGTTTTTCCAGGAAAATCTGGTTTAAAACTCAGAGGATAAGCAAAAATAAATGGCTGTTTCTAAAGTCAGTGTGGTGCAGTGCTAACAAAACAATAGACAACAACAGCCTGGTAACCTAGAATTTGAAACATTGGAAGTATTAATGGTTTTTGTGTTGCTAAGATTGCATGAGAGAAATAATAAAACTACCTTTCTCTGGTTAGTTCAGTTTGCAAGCCTTTTACATACAGTACTACAGTATACTGATACTTTTGTATCTGTCTTTCTTCTTAATTGTAGCTGCTTGAAACAAAGAGAATTAAAGTGACATGGTGCAATTAAATAGATAGTTTAAAGAATTTTTATCTATCAAGAAGATCGCACTGCTCCAAAGCAGAGGGTCTTTGGTCCTTGGTTTATGACGTCCTTGATATACATCGCCTCCCATAAATCCATTTAAGATAAGATAAGACTTTATTGATCCCGACGTACATCATTAAAACAAAAGTTGCACAAACAAATGTCGTCACGCGGCGCTGTACACGGAAGACAGCTTTGTTTACATTCACCGGTTTCACGTTTGATTTTTCTACTTTTTGCAGTTCATTATGGCTCTGACTAATGACGTGTTTGTGTCCTAAAATATGAGGTTATCACTGTGTTAGCGTGGGTGAGTGACAATCGAACACAATCACATACAGTATGTGCAGTATGCCAGTTATCATACTGATAACAAAAACTGTACATCACTGTAGTTTACAGTCAGGAGAATCATTTGCTCCGTCCTGTAGGTAGCAGTGTACTCTGAGTGGCTCCTGTAGCATTCGTCTTCGTTAAATCATCCATTTACACGTGCCATGACCTGCACACACACACATACACACACACACACAGAGTAAGACATGATCTATCTTTCTATCTGTGTTTGTCCGGCTCATCTGTGCAAACACAGGAGTGCATACGCGGGTATGAATCACATTGAAAACATACAGCTTAAATAACAACCAATGAGAGGTGTTGCATTTAACCAGGCCACAGACTATTTATAATGGCCTGGGCGTGCACGTGCTCATTATAGGCCATGGAGGATGCTCACAATGGGCAGGCAAATGAGGGGGTGTGACTTCTTCTAAATGTCACAGACAATGAGACCTATCTGCAGGCAGTCGCTGCAGCAGTCTGTTTAAATACATTAGACAAGAGCAAATACACTGAGATATGAGGGAGTCGATGGAAAGATTACCAGAGGAAAGAATACAAGAGACACTTCTTCATCAAGCTTATCAACCTTCGTGTTGACCATAAGAAGGTGCTGATAGCACAGACCGTTGTTGGTCTGTTTTTCACTTCTTGTGACAGGATACTGCTCTCTCTTTTTGACCATATAAAACACTGGAGCTGCATTTCTTAAGCTCGAGCGGAAAGGGACCAGAAAGTGGGGCAATTTCATTATGAGCCAACATGTATGCTCATGTTGGACGGCTGCGCCCGACACACTGTTGCCATGGTAGCATCTTGTCATCTTTTGCGTCTCACCTTGGATGAATGAAGCCCTGTAGGACATGTTCCTTCTCCAAAGAGTATGCACAGGGAGGGGTAGTGCGTCAGTTTGCAGGCAGCCAGGGATACACCCACAGCAATGTGTATAACTGTTCGTGTGTGTGTGTGTACGTTAATTGGCACGGTTGTGCTTCCTGAAGAGGTGGCAGGCCAGGATGGTTTCTTTGGGGAAAATGACATCACCACCAGGATGGTAACAGCACCAGTAGCGCCCTCAGTGGACCAGTTGTTCCTATATTGAAAAGTTACATTTTGTGGATGTCCTCTGTAGCTGAACATTAGCAACGGTCTTTTCAACACTGAGAAGTTGTATTATTCTGGTTGTTATTTTCAGTGGTCTGGAGATTTCTAAGGAAGTATTTGGCCTTAAGTCTTAATTGCCGTCCATTATCTGCAGTGTAATACTTAGTAGGTCACAACAGGTGAAGTAAACCCTGGATGGTGCACCAGTCATTTGCAGGGCCACATAATGTGTGTGTGATATTCATTCTATTGTTGTGAGAATCTCTCAAAGTAGCGTCTACTGTCTCACAGCGTTTTTTTCCCCCACAATGTCTGTCACAAAGTTCGGCATCTTTTCACTACGAGTCGCCTCTCAAACTGTAGTCGTCTGTCGAGTGTTTGCTGAACAAATTCAGCGTAGCCTTGACTGTGTGTGTAGGTGCACACATGTTATTCTGTGAGTTTTTGTGTGCTGAGGTGGAGATGGGCAGGAATGGGGTTTCCATGACAACGTAATTTATTGTCACCTCAATGGAAATATATATATATATATATATATATATATATATATATATATACGCAGAGAGAGAGAGAGAGGGAAAGATGGATGGACAGACAGACAGGCATGTTGACCCCGTCCGTGTCTTCATGTCACTTTTCCATCATTATAATGTGCCACCCACCATTGAACAGCAGTGAAAGAGACACAGGAGTCTGTACATATGCAACAAACACAGGGACTGGCACCACGTTCTATACATGTGATCCACTGAAGCCCGTGTCAATCAATGAACTGCTCTCCAGATGATCTTTTGATGCTAACCAATAGTGTGCATGGCTGATTACTAGTTTTAATCTGTGATACTGTCTGCAGGTTGCACAGGCTAGTCATTATCCATTATTAAGCAGTATTTTATTATAGCACTATTATGTTTTCAACAACAATAATTTGGGTGACACACACACACACACACATATGCATACACTCTGACAGACTGTCTATCTAGAGAATGAGTCAGCTCCTCCACCTGGAGAACAGCCAAGCCTCTCTCACCCCTCCTCCTTCTCCTTCTGGGTGAGTCCTTCACTTCATTTACTCCACCTCAACTATGGCAGCTTTTCAATCATTCAAATTAGCAATAATCACAGCCAAGGTCTTGCCGTGGAAATGACAGCACGTCACTCCACATACTGAAGAACACTTAATACATTGATTTAATATTGAGGGCGTCGTGGTTAAAGACCGAACCAGGGAGGAAACAGAAAGGCCGCCCTGGCAGAGGCTTACCTGCCAGATTAAAGAACAGAAGCTGTAAAGAGCGGCTCTGAGACCTGTGTCAGTGTTTAGCTCCGACATGTGAGAAGCAGTGCATCAGTGGCACCAGCTGTGGCCACATAATGACACAAATGATTGCCTAATTAATGGGCAGCTTCAGTCTCCAGTGATTGGCCTGTAACACCATTCTGGGGACAAGAGGGGACACGGGATCAACGTCTTCCTCCCTGGACATGCTGTAAAACAAGTGATGCATCCAGAGAATGTCTCATCCACATGGCCACTCTCGCTCACTCTGCTTCTTGTTCCCGTTAATACCAGCCTCTGGAGACTGCGTTAGCAGACTCCTACACACGCCCCTCCTACACCTTCTCTCTCCTCCACACACCACCCTCAGAATCACTATGTGTCCACCTCCACAGTCAGTCTGTGGACAAACCCAGAATAACAATGTAGTCTTGCACTCTTAGCAGCACATCGGAAGCTTTTCTGTTGTTGTTGTTTTCAGACAGAACTGCTAATATAAATATTAAAAAAATCATACATACATGTGTGTAGGGCACAGCACACGGAGGCTGAAGTTAATGAATCTCTAGGAGTGAATGCTCTTACAGACTGCGAGTCACATTATCCAGGATGTATTTGATTTGTTTAGACTGCCCTCTACTGTCGTAGGTCGTAAAACTCAGATGACGTGGCAAAAAGCATCGTCAAAACAAATTACTGTACCTGTAAAATACCTGTAACATTTCAAAAACATAATTTGATATATTATCTTTTATATAGTTATATATTTACAAAGCTGTATTCATATTAAATAGTGCAGGAGGAAACCAACATGTAATTAAGAGATGAACAAAATGTAACCTGGGTGGATATATCAAATATATTAGTGATGTTCTCTTTGCAAAGTAAGTCCACACCAGTCGTGTCCATGTGTACGTACAGCTTTTGTTTAAATTGTTGAAGTAGTTTTGAAATCCTTCTACTTCTTCTTGGTTAAGGATTGCATAATTGGCCCAGTTAATGTTATGTCATGTTTAACTGGCTGTTAACTCCTGTCCCTGTAGAGGTTAATTCGAACAACAACAGGAAACAAGCCATTACTGGATTTCTAAATTTACAAGCAGGTCTTTTTATAGAATCTTACCTGACTCACCTCAGCGGAGTCCACCTCAGTGGAAAACTGTGACGCACAGGAGGCCATGAAGTGAATTTATGTGAGGGAGGGGCTGGAGGTATTTGTATCAATGTAGCTGTACCAATCTGACAGTTAAAACATTTACAGTTAATATGTATTATTACAATTATGGTGATGATGATGATGACTATTATTATTATTATTATTATTATTTAACATCGCATGATAACATACTGTTTTCTTTTTCAGTAATCTCAAAAGACAGTCCCATTCATTAGGGTGTAATAAATTCGTCTCTGTTTCTTCAGTGCTCTCAAGAGGGCACTGTTGTCTTTTATATTTATTTACATTACATTAACGTCGTAAGTCCGTATAAAAGGTTACTAAATACTTAAAACCAACCGTAAAATACGTAGAATAGGTAAAACCAACCTTTATGTGTTCTAGTTAAATATGCTAATGTTTCATTTAAAATAGTTTTTATTATTTTATTTATTTATATAGTTTTTATTTCTCTTTGATATATTTTAATATAAATACTTATTTTGACTAAAGAAATGCTCAAAATTATATTTTGTAAATTCTAAAGATACATTACTTGGCACAATTATAAATTAGCTGTTGGAACTAAAACAACAGCCAGGGAGTAATAATAGTAGTAACAACAACAATAATAATAACATTATATTATTATTATCAGTAATAAAATAATAATAATGATGATAGTTACAATAATAATAATTTAGACTTCAAACTCCAAAATTAAAATCATAGCTTGTTGCACAAATGACACACAAGAGGGCAGTGTTATCTTTATTATTCGTTTATTATTCGAGGCGATTCAAAAAAGTATGCCAGTGTTTTTTTTTTCTTTTGATTATAGTCATTTGTTTTTTATATTTTTTATTAAATGAAATGAAAAATCAAATGTATGCACGTTTTTTGTCCCTATTTATGACAGACTTGATCCAGTTTACGTGGTCTTGAATCCTAGTGTAGTAGTGCACAGGCGGTGCACGTGACAGGGGAATGAAAACGTGTGAAACTACACCGTATGCTTTCTCATCTTCACAGACCAGTGGGCCACCCGAGTCTCCCTGGAAACACAAAGACACAAAGCACTGATAAGTTCAGGAACAATGACTTCAGGAATTAAAAATGAAATCATGTACCAGAACCAAACCTTAGCTGGTCCAGCCTCTCCTTCTGAGCAGTACGACTTGGACTTTGTGCAGTTTTCATTGTCTATGAGTGTGACGTTGACCTCCATGAGAGTCACAGATAAATAGTTGGTCTCTTTATTGTTCCTTCCCCAACCGGACACAAAACATGATTCTGGAAGAAAGTCTATGTCTTCCTGGGGGAGCTCAATGGGCCGCACATCTTTGTTGAAGATGGCCTTGGTGCTTAACTTCAAAAATAGAGACACAAGAGATACTTTTGGTGAACTTCTCTGATGCTTCCATCCTCCATGTAGGAATTTAAATGTTGGTGATACAACTGAGAGTACTTTCTCCTACCTTGAGAAGCATTATATCGTTCTCTGTACGTGTAACGTCACTGTAGTTCTCATGCGGGAACTCCTGCTCCACAGATATCTTCTGTACATTAGGTTCTTTCCTATTTTTGGCATTGTGGACTCCCAGGAATACAGTGAAATTGCTAAACGAGACACTTGGACAAGCAAGTAGGTTTGTAAGTGAGTGAGTAGTTAAACAAGATGTTAGCTAAGTTAGTCAATGAAGTAAGTAAGTAGGTTAGCCAGTCAGCAATTAACCATGTAACTAAAGGGTGTTAGTAAGTAGCTTAATAAGTTAGCAAGTAGTCAGTTAATATGTAAATATTATAAATAAATAATAAAACATATAATTACACTATTAGTGTAAGGAATCCAATTTTTTGCATTAAATTTCTTAAATTTAAACATGTAAAAAATATATATTGTTTCACCTATGGCATTTGCAGTGGGCTGCAGTTATGACAAAGTCCTCATTCAGGAGGAAGCCACCACAGTATCTTGGCGACCCATTCTCATCGCCTCTTAGAAACACCATGTACGGCCTGCTGTGAGGCACAGCTTCATGACCTCCAATTATTTTCCCGGCATACACTGTGACAGGGATGGACAATGTTTGGTAAACATCTACAGGCTGAGAAAACATAGGTGTACAGTATTTAGCCACGCTAATAGGAATCAGAAAACAAACCTTGTTAAACTTACCCTCGTGAGTTAGGACTAGTACCAGTGGAACCAGGAGACAGTGGGTGAACATGGTGAGAGATGAGTGCAGCTACTGACAGAAGCACAGATCAGTCAGGTACCTTTGGAGACTTGTGAAAGAGGAGGAAATGTGATGCAACATTTGCAATACCATAATATAATGCAAATATAACGTTAGACCCCCCCCCCCCCCCCCCCCCCTCTCTCTCTCTCTCTCTCTCTCTCTCTTTCTCTCTCTCTCTTTAACCACCACATACAGGTAATCATTTTCTCATATGTAATTATTACATAAATTCATAATATTTATTTTTTCTTCCTTTTTTTCTGAATATATTATCAGATCAGATTCAGGTATAAACATTGAGTTTTGACACAGACACTTTTCAGGATTTCCACATTGAGCCATTCATACGTTTTTGTTCAACACGTCTTTTCGACTGGTATTTGGCCTGACTTGACATTTCCATAAATCTGATGTCAGTTGGTACACGTCCGGGCATAAATCAGACCGGTGTAGACAACACTGATATAATTGCTCCTAATTATGACGTCTGAATGCCCCATTAGATATTAAACGTTCAAAGCTGTGGCTTTTTCCTCAGAGGAGACTTTATGTCTGTCGTCCGGTCCCAAAGGTAACATTATTCTGATGTTATCACCTCCAAAGACATTGCATTAAAATAGGATCTGTTTGAAAGTGCGGTCTGTGGAATTGGCCATGAAATCTGATCCCTGAGCCTCTGAGAAAATGAAGGAGTGTTCATTTGATCCTCCTACACTGCACATTCGTCCTTGATGGACGTATTGATTGGATTCATTATTTCCAGATTTTAATTTTATTTTTAAAAAGAAAATTAGAAAAACCAGGCCAGAACGTCTTATTAGTCCCTTTAACAATTATAGCAAAAAATAAAATGTGAAAAATCCAAGTGTACTGTTCGCTGCTGTCAGTTCCTACAGTAGCTGTACATCTGCTACATCACTTCACCACTGTACAGACCCACACAGTTTTTTCCTCTTATATTAATTCATGGTGATGTTTTGAATGGTATCCACTGCAGTTTACACGTGTTAAAGGAGAAACGAGTAGGAGGACAAGAGGGCAGAGGGGGAGGAGGAGGAGGGAAAGGATGAAGAGGAGGAGGTACAGGAGGATGAGAAAGGAAAGAATGAACTTTTTTATTAGAGCTTCTGGAGGCCAGGGTAGTAATGGGAATTACAGGAGGAGATGGGGAGAGGAATTCGAATGGTAGAATAGGGTGTTCAGTGTTAGCCCATCACTTTTATAGGGACCATGAGGAGGAAGGCTGACTGCTTTAGTCATTGAAAAGCAACACGAAGACGAGGGAATGTAATAACAGCTATGAAACCAATCACTGTTTATTAAGAAGGAAGGAAAACGACAACAATAAAGTCAACAGACGCAGAAAGAGAAAATTCCATACCAAACAGAGAGTTGAAGGCCTGGCATTGACAGTGGTCAGTGGTCATCCATTATTGTCATTATTCAATGGTGTGATGTTCTCTTTTGTAGAGCGGATTGGGTCGTGTTTCTGAAGTCGGCTGTTTGTTGGAATTCCACGGCATCCAGGGAGTGAGGATAACAGCGGACTATTAAGTGAGTTCAGTTTGAAGTTTTTAATATTTTTTTTTACAATCCTTTCATTGTTGCATGTTTGCTACGGTCCAGCACTGGCTGCCCACACAAAAGTACGAGACGACTCTGGATTCCAGGGCAGTAGCTCAGTGATGGGAAGACATCGATGCAGTCAGGAAAAATAAGTTTTCCCAGATGATACCGAGACCACTTTCCCAAACGGTGTACCTCATATCCTAGCCTGAATCATGACCCCTTAACTAACACACATTTTAATACCAAATCCCGCACTTGAACTTCAAAATGTCCTTTGACGTATTGAGGACATGCAAAATGTCCATGTCTCCCAGTGATAGTTTTTGACACACAAAACCACAAACAACCACAAACTAAATCAAACCAAACATGTACAAGTGTACATAAATGCAATCATACAAGGTTTGATTAGCTGATGAGGTTAAACCGGTGGCACATGAAAGGATACGGCCCATTTGACAATTACACATAATAGAAAATGACTATGAGATTAAGGTGTAAAGTAATTCGAGCCCCAGAGGAACCACATACTTAATGGCGCCTCCTGTTGCAATCTGACTCACATTTTGTTATTATTATTATTAAACCCTGTTAAAAAGGCTGAATTTGGATTTCCATCCCTCCCTGTTTCTTTAATAGTTTTATTCCAGTGTGTGCTTCCGTGCCACTCAATCAAACACAAAATTATTCATCTCCGATTAAGATTTTGGGCTCATGCTAACAAGCTAAGGCATTGTTTCCCAAAGACTGGGTTGCAACCCTCAGCTTTTTTTCGGGTCGTCTTGCATCATGTTTTCCAGGAGTTTATGAATAATGTCTATTGACATCGGTTGCGAAGGTTTGTGACTTTTAAAATATGGGTCCCCAGAAAAAATGTTTGGGAAACACCTGCTAAGGGAACCACTAATTCAGTAGTAGTGCAAATTTCATGTATCAAAGTAAAATTATTTATATTCTTTATTACTTGTTTGTTGTTTCACTTTAGCTACTTTGGGGGAGTTACAACAGCTGGGAAGACGGTACTGAACAGAAACAGATGTGGGTTGATGCCTTAAGAAATTCTGCAAGAATTACAAAAGGATGTTCGGTTGCCTGTGAGTTCTAAAAAAAGAGTTTTTGACATTGATTGACACTGGTTAAATGCCCAAGTATTTATCATAGACCTGTCCTAGTTTCTATATTGATATAATTAACCTTTTTCCTCATGAAACCCTTATGTTCAGTGTTTTAAACCCCGTATGGATTTACAGAAAAGCACACACCCATATGCTAGCGTTGCGGTTAAAAACAATACCGTCTCAACTCTTCACACTCCGTGTTGTTTGGAAGATTCTGGTCATCTTCCATGAAGCCATGATTTGTTTATATTCATTTCATTCATGCAGATTTGACACGGGGTTTTGCCTACAAACAAATGAGCTCAGATATAAAACCCAACACTTCCCAAAAGAGTATTTGGTTGTTGCTGCACAGCAGTGTAAGGCCACGGTTCCAATATTGACCAAAACAAAGAAAATGTGAAAAGGCAGACTTTTAATGACTGTACATAATTACTAAAGAAAGCCAAGTTCTTTTTTTTTTTTTTTTTTTTTTTTGCCAATATCCAGCTTCTACTCACGCAACGTGGACAGTGAAAAAGGAGAGAGGAAAAAGACAAATTGTTTGACTGAGCCTTGGATGACATAAATTATGTCAGCTGTATGAGTGTTTTTCTGTTCTGCTTGATCCATTTCTATCCAGAAAAACATATGGTGCCTATTCGCCTTAGACATGGGATTCATATTTAGATGTATCAGATTTAAA